TTTTCAAAAAGCAAAAAATAACCTTAAACGTGGTGCGCATGGAGATTGTTGGGAAGAAGTGAAATACAAATGAAATAGATGCGCACCACATTTAAGGTTATTTTTTGCTTTTTGAAAACGTGGTTTTTTAGATTAATTTTTTAATCTACTATAATTATTATAGAGTGTCTTGCGCAATTTGACTGTTTCACAATTTGACCCTAGTTTGGCAACAGATTAGGGTTAAATTGCAAGGTACCACCTGCACTGTATGTCTACATATTGGGATCCACTGTATATTTTTGCAAGATTTAATGATGAAGGTGATCACAAAAAAATGCAAAAACATGTTTTTTCATGGAAAATCATTTTGCTTCAATTTTTAAACTAATTTTCAACATGTGAATCCCATGAAATTCCGGCTGAATTTGCTTCCACGAAATAAAAAAAATACAGCACACTTTCAATTTATGAATGCCCATATATTTTCCAATGCATCTCCTTGGCCACTTTTTGGGACTGAATGGTGACTGTGGAAATAAATAAAAAGGAAGGTACATTCAACCTCCATCTAACGGACTTGATTCATGCAAGGGACAAGTCTGTTGGACAAAAAGTCCTTTACACGAATTCAATTACATAAAAAATTAAAAATTTCAATTTTCAACACTAATTTTAAACCAAAAGAAGTCTGTTTGGCAGATTTTGTCTGTTGGGCGGGAGGAAACACTGCTTGCAGAGCTGTGGTCTGTTTGGCGAAAATCCTTTACACCGGAGGTCTGTTAGGCGGGGGGCCACTGTATATAGAAAAAACCGGAAAAGAAGAAGAAAAAGAGGCAAAAGAATATGGCAGAGGGTTGCATGTGCTGTATAGGGGAGATGGCGACGCGTGTGCAGCAGAGGGGCTGATTTTTTTTTTTCCTCATACGCGGGCCTGACATAATTGCATTCCTGTCTTGACACTGATTAAAACCCGGGGCTGGATTTGCAACACTTTCCAGTTTCCAAACAATCACCCTTCACGCACGTCGTCGACTTGTTTATTTGAGAAAAAACAAAAAAAAACGGGGGATCGACGGGACCTGTAGGTTTTATTTAGACGGGTTTGCGAAGAAGAACACTTCTTCGAAAATTAAGAAAACATTTTTTAAAAATGTAAATCCAAGCTGAATGAATACTTCAACATTTTCTTTTTAAAATTGACTTTGATATTTTCGACCTGAAATGTACAAAAATATCCACCTCTTTTGTTCAGTCGGATTTAAAAAATAAATGAAATCCAACCCATGCTTTTGATATCAAATATCAAGGATAACCCACATTTTCCACATGAAAATGGATATCATGTTTAAATTTAACAGATGTGAGTTTAAAATGTTTTTGAAACATATTTAGCTTTTCTGCTCTTTGTAGTTTTTGTTACAGTGCAGTTTTGGTATATTTCTGGCCACATTTCCAAATAAGGTAAGTTTTTCAACTGCCATACCATCATAAATATGTACAGTATGTGTTTTCATAACTTAAAAAAAAAAATTTAATTTAATTTTTATTCAAGTCACAACATTTTCAAATACATTATGGCTGAGAAACTTGCCAAAAATTCTTCAGGCCTTTTTTTCATAGCTTTTCTTCTCTTCATTGATGTACAATATTTCTAAGATAGATTTTTAGAAAACCCATAAAATAAATAACCAATCTGACCACAAAACACTTACATTTGGTATTGAACAGTACTTTTTTTTGGTAGTTTGGATCGATTTCTAAAGGTTTTCTTTTTAAGTATAGAACAAAAAAGTCGGTTAGTGAAATAATTTGGTTTTAGGGAAAGGATACAGAGATGAAAATGGATTAAACTCTTCGTAAACTCTTATAATTTTTTCTTTTAATTTTCTAAAGCTCTGGACATTCCTTTAATTTTATTTGTTCAGTCCATGGGGATTTCTGAAGCTGAATTCGAAAGAATGTGTTTGAAAACCTTCGAAGCATTTTAACTTTATAGCTTCAGGGGTTACATTTATGCACTTGAGGAAAAAGAAAAATTAGCTTCAATTTTTCAAACATTCCAGATCATCCAGTGGATTAAAATGGCGCTCTGAACCCTTTTGGGTTACATTTCTTCAAAATGTCCCTTGATCCGGTTATTTTTTGGCTGACTGTTCACAAGAAATTCAAAAACGCGCATAAATTGGAAAAACTTTCAATAACCCTTTCAAATCAAGACACCAATACTGTATTTCAATGGACGAATGGTGGTCACACCAAAGCACATAAAATCCTAATCCTGGGTTCATTACGAGGGAAATTGAATTAGCTTGAATGTGACATGGTTTTCAGAGCCATTACTGTAACTGCTTGGAAAATAATCCAGAAATAAGGTTGGTCCTTTCGTTTTCGGGCCAAGGTTTCCTTCAATGGTGACGAGCCTTTTTTTCTGTCGCTGAGAAACGTAGTTAAAATGTATAATGTACATCTATAATTTTTCTCCCTAAAATCGGTGTCGAGATGAAAAAATCAAATAAGCAAGAAATAGGTGATTCGGGTTATTTAAAAGAGTATTAGACCTTCAAAGATCTGTACTCACCAGTGTACAGAAGATGGCCGATGCCCTTCAAAGTCAAGTCCTCGTCCGCCATCCCGACCAGTTGTTTTCCTCAAGTCGCTCAAATGCGTCTCCCAGCAAGTAATAATAAGTTAAGGGATACCGTAAAGGTTAAAGGAGGACCAGGATTACGAAGATTAAACAGAAGGTGAGTAGCACTTTCCTTACGGAAAAAGAAGGCTCTATTTTTTTTCAAATTTAGAGATGAATCAGGTGACAGACAGGAGAAACTGAGCGACGCCCGCTGCGGGACAAAGGAGACTGGAGGCAGGACTGAGGATCCTCGGGACAAGGCTGAACAAGACCCGCCTACTAACCTTTCGTGTGCAGCAGAGGAAGGCGTGGCTCTGGGGAGCTGCGTTGCTGATGGGCGGAGACTTCCTGGGGGGAGGGAGTGTGGGAGAACTGCCCGCCTTCTGGAACGGGCTGCCCTGCGCGTGGGGTGCCCGCGCAAATCGCAGGTGTCCTCAAGGAGCATTGTTCTGACAACTAATAGGATGGGTAATTAGGGATCAAAGAAAAATTGTGGATAGATGAATATTTATCCAAGTAACAAGATAAAGTGAGACCCCCACATGCAAACAATTTGACATAAGGACATTTATTTTTTGATAAAAAAGGGCATACAAAAGGCCTGACATATGGACACTGACTTGACATGAGGACATTCCATGATGAAATTTCCAAAAATGTTTTTAAATTGAGTTTTATAAGGCTTGATTGCAAGAAACAGACATTTCCAGCCCTAAAATTCATGCAAGAAAAATTCTTTGTCATTTCTCCCATCATTTTCTGATCCATTCAGCTAATTAAAAAAATTACCTATTTCATAATAGAGGGACTTCCTTCTCTCTTTATGACTTGAATGTTATTTTTGCAGATGCCAACATTTCAATGAGCTGTACAGCAGTATACTATTCAATGCTCCAAATTTTCTTATTGGGTTGAAAGGATATTCATTGAATCAAATTCAAGTGGCAAAAAATTTTCAATGGAATTCTGGAGAATATTTCTTCCATAAAACACCAATTAAAAATTATGTAATGTATGTCCATGGGAAAACAAGACTTGACTTAGGGACAATCCAACTTAGGAACACATTCTTCATCTACTAAATCTACTAAATTTTCACATTGTCATTTACAAAAGATGCTGTTTTCTAAATTAGCTTATTCTTTGCTCTAAACAGCCCAAAGGACTCCAGAAAAAAATAATAGTTGGGTTGCATTTTTTTGAGTTGACAAGAATTGGTGTTTCCATAATTCAATGAAATGAGGCTCTCTGCAAACTTCTATCTTGTGTGTAAATCACAAACTTTGTGGGTGTGAGGGGCTTTAACACAGCCCCTTATCTCACCAGGGGCTCTGAATAATAAAATCTTCTACAAAAAGGCTCCTTATAGTAACTGAGCTGTAATTGAATTGTCTACAAGGTCTTTGAAAATAATTCCAATAAAAATCCAAACCATTCTTTCATTTAATTAGGTGACCTGACCTCCAAGTCTGCAGTCAAACCTGACCAAAAAAGTTAATATATTTCAAGCCAGCCAGCTTAAATGTTTCTGGGCTTCGCAAGTAAATAAAAGTAAAGCATGTTAAAGAAACATTTAGAGGCAATTCTTTTGTGGAGAAATTCTTAGAACATCAGATTTTGAAGTTTGCTGGATAGGATTCACACTTTCTAGTTCACCAAAACTTCTGCAAGGCATTAATTTTCAAACCAATAATAATGTATTGTCCGCAAGGGGGCTTCTTCCATCATCCATCACAATAATGCAGGAATACAGGAGGTACCTTGAAATTTGACCCTAATCCATTGCCACATAAGAGTCACATTGCAAAGCAGTCAAATTGCAAGACATTTCATGGAATTCAAAAATATCAATACAAAAGATGGGGTAGAAGTGGCCAAAGCACGTTGAATTGCACGGTAAGGGCCAAATGGCAAATCAACCACCCTGCAAATTTGACCAGCATTGACTTGCGGGTTGGTCAAATTGTGAGGTACCACTTGTATCACTTTTTAGGCTAGGTGACCAGGGTGTCAGCCTCCCCAGTCTTGGAATTCTTGCACTGCATCTCTCTGGAAAAATAGGGTGGAGCCTATGATACCCTGTTTCAGCTTCTCAGCCCTGATTGGGGACAAAGTATAAGAGAAACTTGTTCTGCGTGGGAGGAATAGGAGAGTGTATTCTGTACATTATGCTCTCCAGGAAAAATCAATGCCTGAACTGTTGGACCTGCTGCCTGATGCCTGCTGCGCTGCTGCTTCATTTCACACAAAAAAAAACTGGAGCAATCTGCGTCACCATCTTGCCTGCTTGCCTTACAGAGAGGGCAGCTCAATTAACACACAGAACCATGAGGCTGCGTCATTTCTTTTCACAAGGTTGAGAGAAAATGGGGCCATGAAGAATCTACAGTATTTTGAAACATCTTGAAGTTTATGACTTGCTTCAAAGTTCATCAAATATGGACATGATTTGATTTTCATGGCCAAGTATTGCAAAGTGAAAAATGCATCATCTCATATACAGTACTGTTCTATAAAATCTCATTGTAACTAATCATATTTTTGGGTTTGTGAAGTACCGTGAGACCCCCAGATGCGGACATAATTGGTGTATCAAGAGTGTCCCTATGTCAGATTGTCCCCAAGTCGAATCTTGTTTTCCCATAGACTTATGTTGTATAATTTTTAATTGGTGTTTTATGGAAGAAATATTCTTCAGAATTTCATGAAAAAAATCTTGCCACTTGAATTTGATTCAATGAATATCTTTTCAAACCAATAAGAACATTTGGAACATTGANTTTACAGTACAATACAACAATCTAGCCATATTTCATTATCTGCACAAAATCAGGGATTCCTTGGCAGTATGCAGGAAATGAGCAGCAGCAGCAGAAGGGCCTCCTTGACGTCATCTGCTGACGTCAGGCTCCATGAGAAATGACGTCAGCAAGACAATCAACGCTGTTTTGTGCATCATGGTCATCCACGAAGGTTTCTATATTTTATTTATTTATTTTGATAGTTTAGTTCTAACTTATTGATTTCAGTTCACTCACGAGAAGCAAACGAATGGAAACATTGCAAATATTGTGCTTTGTTGATTCGCTAACACCAAGTCTGAAATTTCATGAAAAGTTCAATATTCTTGAAACAAATCTTGTTACACCACATTCCTGTTTATAAAAGAATGACGAACCCTCTATCAATAGCAATCGGGTTTTGAAAATATTTTATTAATCTGGAACGTTAAACGTTCTTTTCTCTGGGTAAAGTGGGCCTTTATTACAGCAAAGCCAATACAAGACAAAGAGATCAGTCGGAAAATTGCATTAAAAATAAATAAGTATTATTCAAGTGGATTTCGAAAAATTCATTTTTGCTCATGATGAATAAATGCTTACTTCCCTAGATGAGCAAGCATAATCATAATGTTATTTGTATACTGTGTCAAATTGAGAAATACAGTGAGACTCCCACATGCGGACACCTCAACATATGGGGACAATTGGAATAGGGACACTTATTTTTCAATTTAAAAAATCATAAAAAAGGCCCAACATAGGGACACTGACTCAACATGAGGACATTGCATGATAAAATTGGCAGTACATTTTAGGAAAATTGACTTTTATTAGACTTAATTGCAAGAAACAGATATTTCCAGCCCTGAAATTCATGCAAGAAAAATTCTTTGTCATTCCTCCCATCATTTTCTGATCCATTCAGCTAATTTAAAAAAATTACCTATTTCATAGAGGGACTTCCTTCTCTCTTTATGACTTGAATGTTATTTTGCAGATGCCAAAATTTCAATGTAGTGTACAGAGGTACACTCAATGCTCCTAATGCTCCTAATTCAATGCTCCTAATGCTTTTATTGGGTTGAAAGTTATTCACTGAATCAAATTCAAGTGGCAAAAAATTTTTTCAATGGAATTCCGGGAATATATCTTTCATAAAACACCATGAAAAAATTTTCAATGGTATTCTGGAGAATATTTCTTCCATAAAACACCAATTAAAATTATATAATGTAAGTTTATTGGAAAACATGATTCAACTTAGGGACAATTCAACTTAGGGACATTCTTGATGCATCAATTTTGTCCACATCTGGTCACCCTGAATCATTGTATTTTGTTTTCAAATGTTTTTGTGTTGCAAATTTGATCATTGTAATAAGATTCTATCTCATTAACTACCATATTAATGCATGGGTACAAAAGTCTACAACATCAAATTTGCAAGTACTGTAAATTTTTATTGGATCATTATTGACTCATCATTTGTTTTCATATTGAGATTTTACTGTACCTGTGAAATATATTACAGTCAAACCTCTCTAAGTCAAATTTCAAGGGACCAGCAACCCCTTACCCATTACTTAGGGACACCAGAGGTTCTGAATTATAAAGGTTTGAGCTACAATACAAAGCCCTTTTGTTCCAGGAAACATGGAAAAATTGCAAGACCCTGGCGCCAGTGACACTGTGCGGACAAGTTTGGAGAACTTGTCCACACCTTTCTGGCACCAGTGTCTGGCAGCTTGTACTCTGGCGGACAAGTTCTCCAAATATGTCCACCAGAGCACACTTTTTGAGGGCATTTTCTCCAAAAGATGTTCCTAGAACTCATTTGGATGAGTTTTGGACATCTTTTGGAGAATTTCTTGCTCACTGGGCTGTACTAATNCCTTTATAATTCAGAACCTCTGGTGTCCCTAAGTAATGGGTAAGGGGTTGCTGGTCCCTTGAAATTTGACTTAGAGAGGTTTGACTGTAATATATTTCACAGGTACAGTAAAATCTCAATATGAAAACAAATGATGAGTCAATAATGATCCAATAAAAATTTACAGTACTTGCAAATTTGATGTTGTAGACTTTTGTACCCATGCATTAATATGGTAGTTAATGATTCAGTTGAAAATTAAGGCAAAAGTATTTTTAATCAATGTTCTGCAATCCCTTGCAGGATTACCACATTGCCTTGTGAATGTCAAAATAACAAAACTCCTCTAGATCCAATGGGTTTTCTTACTGTAACACGACTCTACTATATGCATATAAACAACAACCTAAAAATAGTAAGCATCATAGGAGGCTCGACAAAAAAAATGGCATGTGCCAAATCTCCCAAGTCATGATGGCGGCTTAACTTTGACGTCAATGTCGCGTCGTTTTTTTTCTCTCTCTTTTCTTATATCCCTAGTAATTGTGCACATAAAATCGCGCGATACTCACTTATCAGACATTCTTCCTTTCCTTCCTTTTTGATAATGACTCGCCAATTTATTTCCCCCCTTTTTATTTTCGCCCCCTTCTTTGTTTGCCGCTATTTTTTCCCACACATGATGCTTACGTCAGGACCTCCAGAACACCGGCGCCGAAAGGCGGACTTTCTTGTCCACTGACGACAATTGCGAAGAAAGCCCTCACTTTTTCTTCGTCATAATTGATGTCAAATTCAGAGGAATATTTTTTCGTTGATTCATAGTTCGATTGGATGCTTTTTTGGGGGTATTAGGATATTATTGAAGTTTTTTTCTCGCGCGTGTTTCATGAAATTCTTATCTACATGAAAGACAATAAATTGTCGCCCATTTTTATCGCACAAAGAACCCGGGTATAATTGTAAGTACAATTACAGGGAGTCCTGCAGATCCGTGAATTGGCAAAACAGGATATTCTTTGGTTGTGCTCTGTGAAACATCGTCTATTTTGGCATTTTTGCACATTACGATTCACCGACTTCTTTCATGGCTGTGAGTTCACTTGAAATCATATACTGTATCAGTGAAAATACTGTATATAGATGCAGGACAGACATAAACGGACATTTTTTCACTTTACAGCATAGCAAGGTGGATACATATCCGCCATGATATTTTTTAAAGCAGACATAATGTTTTGTTTGTTCACCACCATATGCTGCAATGTGCACATATGTACAATATAGTTACAAACTTTTCAACATTTTAAATGCCTTTCAGTGGAAAATTCCCTGATGTCTGGCTGTACAATAAGCTCCTGAGTGAAAGATCACAGATGAATTAATATTGTCACATATATCAGTGAAAAATGGAGTGAAAGAGCAGCTCTTTGCCTTTGAAGTTGACTATATGATAAGTGCTTAGAAATGCATAAAAATTTAATTGTTCAGAAGGGAAATGAAGTTTTGTCAGAAGACATGAGTTCAGAGGGAATTTTTAACTAATTTGTCATAAATGCACAAACATAAATGGAAATGCAGACAGCTAGCATGTAAAGGTATTCTATTACTTACAATAAATGATGTCTGTGTAGCACTTAGCATATTAAAGGACAGTATTTTGTATTAGTATATTTTCATACCATATGTATAGATACAGTCAACCCCTGCAAAATGGACCTACCACACAAGAGTTGAAGTTTTCCCTCCTGCACAATGGACTAAATCCACATGAGACTTCTGTTGGTTTAAAATTATAATGGTAAAAAATAAAAATTTTAACTTTTTAATAATCGAATTTGCATAACACACTTTTCATGCAATTGCATGAATTAAGTCTGCTGTGCGGGGGTTTACCGTATATGTTTGTTTTATACAGTACTGTGATTTCATGCAGGGACTGAATCGAAGGCGACATTCGCTTACAAGCAGCGTCATCTACACATCATTTTTATTAGTCATCATAGCAGTCTTCTTGGCGCTTACTCAGAGCACGTCTGCACTGCCAACGCTCTGGAAAGCGAACGAAGCCGTTGTGGAGTCATGGACAGAGCCCTCAGTATGGGAACGTGATGGTACTGCACAAACTGAGCCAGATTGGGACCAAATTTGCGAGGA